ACCATTACCTTGCTCTCAACAACAAGGGTGCTGTTTTCGCATGGGGTGCTGGTGAGCATAATCAACTTGGTCGAAGAATCGTTGAACGTTCAAGATTGAATGCTCTTCTTCCTCGTGAATTTGGTCTACCAAAGGCCATGACCGACATTTTCTGTGGATCAGAACATAGTTTCGCCATTCACAAGAATGGCACCGTTTACTCTTGGGGAGCAAACAACATGGGTCAATGTGGTCAATTCAGCAAAGATGGTACCCTGACTGAAGAAGTCACATCAACTGCCACCAAAGTCAATATTCTCAAAGACAAGAATATCAAGATGATGGCCGCAGGTAACGCTTCCAGTTTGGCACTGACCCACGAGGGCGAGGTTCTTTACTTTGGCAAAGCTCAGGATGGTCTTTCTGGCCATGATGTTGAGGCACTTCCAGAAGATGTCATCATCAGAAACGAACGTAACCAACGATCGATTATCAAGACACCTCTCACCTTCCCATTCAAAGGATCATACATTGCTATGGGCAGTGACCACAGCATCGTTCTTGGCCCTGATGGTCACAGTCCTCACTATTCTTGGGGATTCAACACCTACAGACAGACTGGTTTGGAAGATGACCAAGATGTCTACATTGCAGAGGAGCTCGAGAACAAGAACATCGAAGGAAAGAAGCTTGTCTGGGCAGCAGGAGGTGGCCAATTCTCCTTCTTGGCTGGTATTCCAGAAAACTAAATTTCGGATCGCCGCGTGTTTGATTTTTTTCGCTGTAAATAGCGCATTTCGGATCCTGACACACTGCAATCAATCCAGCTCGAACTCGGCCTGACAGCATTTGCTCAATAGGGACAACATATCTGCAATTATTTTGCGAGACTGACCTTGATGGATCTCTGGTTTTTACCCAGGACTTTGATCCGGACCATCAAGGCAGTTCTCTCTTAATCATCGCAGATATGTTTTCCTTATTGAATAATTGCCGGAAGGGCGATAATAGAGAGGATTGAGCGTGGTTGTAGAAGGTGATGGCTGCATTCATGAATTGGCGTTTCGGAATTGGACTGTATGGATATTAAAAATGGGAATGGACTATGGCATTATTGTGGTGCATGGAATAGAACAATGGAACATTGGGATGGATTAAACTGGCGTTATTTGTTTAAGTAGTCTTTTAAAGAGACTCGTTATCATTGGTCGTGAGAGGCCTTTTTATGGAACTGTTGGATTTGTTAGACTTGTCTTTCGTTGTCTGTTCAAAGTCATTGCGTCTGTGGTACACAGACTAAATTTTTCTTTGGAATGAAAGATTTTATAAATGAATATGTCCTGCTTGTGCAGTTGTGATGTGACGTGTTGTTCTAGATTGAGAAGTTGATGGGGAACTAAACGAGATCGTTAAAACGCATGCCGTTTGAGATCCTTGACACGGAATACGAATACTCATTTTAATATATAGGTAGCTATTAGCATGAAAGAAAGTCGGGGAGATTGGAGACGATGTAATAGATAGTAGATATGTAAAAAAAAACATCCGAGACTTTAAAAATTAGAAATTCATCAGCTAGGCCACTAATAACAAGTTGACAAACCAAAGGGACACTCGGGCTGCCAAAATTCGAATTGGCAATCTTTCTTGACGCATCGATTCACATACTTTGCAACTCGAAACCATAATTCATTATAGATGAAACCATCAAGAAGCGAATTCTGGTCGCAACCAAGAGGGAAATAGGTTCGTTGTAACGTTGGAAGGTTGGGATGTGGCCCGTCAGACTGGTGGGCTTCAGGTTGTGCTTATCCCGGAATCTTTCTCTGGGTTTCTTCGTATATGTGTGTGTGTTCCTCGGATCTCAGAAGTCGGGAGCTATGCTGTAGAAGGTGTATCGCGTGTGTTGATTAGTTGGTTGGTTGGTTGGTAATATAGAGAGAGAGAGAGAGCTTGATGATGTTGATGTTTAAATCTCTAGGGGTATACTCCAGCTTGGAATTTCAAATTCGGGATTGAGAAATCGTGTTTTGGGATTGGATAGCTGGTAGTAGGTACGGTTGGTGTTGGTATTGGTATCGTTATTCTTCGCGTAGACATGACGCCAGAGTTTACTAGTGAGAAAACAAACTGTGGCATCCATGATATTCATCGCATGTGGCATCTTACCGGGTAATCTATAATTCATTCATTCATTTATGAGGCTTGCTTTGTGAGCGATGTAATCACCATAATCTCTATCCTGTGAAGAAACAGTAGAAGTCATAAATAGCAATAGCTATAGATCACGATTCTGGCCGGATGATAAAACCAGTCGGCCAGCCGTACAACTTTGATCTCTTGAAAGGGGGTTTGGGAGGGTTGCGGATGTGCATTCGCGAAACGAAACTATGTCGATTTGATTCTTTTCAGGGGGAAACTTGAATTAAGTTTGTGGTATATCGCGCAGGCGAAAAGAAACGGGGAGGAGGCGGGAAGAAGAAAAAGAGAGGATAGTGCGAGGATAATGAGCGATGTAGATGGAGTGAAGATTCGTCTTCGTAGGTACCTAGTTCGTTTCGCGCAAACAAATAAAATAGTACAGTCCGATCTGAACAATTCCACCTCGGAGATTCAATATCTGCACCATTGTATAAACAAATATACACGAGAACCCATGAACCTCCCCTACAAGCCCCGACTATTCGCCTCCCTCTGAAAGTAACGTTCGTGTTGATTCTGCATCATTCCGTGTATTAGGAATAGATGTTGATATTCTCTCCTACCCTACCTTAATCAAAAGTATACATCGATAGAGTAATCGAGCAGCGTACAATGCATCCAATTCAAAATAACGCACAATCGACTAGAAACCAAGACTTAACCTTAGCCGCGAGTGAAGAAACCCATCCATCATACCAAAAAATCTAATCCCAAACAGAAGAGAAATTCGAGAGAGAAAAGGCGTCTACCTGATCACCCCCACTCGTTGTATAGAAATGATAGTTCCGTTCCATCTTCAATACTCATCGATGATGGAGAAGAAATTTCGCATCTTCAAATTTCGCTTGAAATTCATAGTGTTCATCTGTCATCTCATCTGCAAACATACATACATACATACTCTTTATTCTGATCTCCCAGAATATACATTCTAATCAACAGATTCCCTTTCAAATTACACAACACACCCAAAAAACACCCCCTCTTCTCCCCCCAAACAATCTACAACCCCGCGCTCCAACATCCCGTAACCTCCTATAATAGAAGTTCCGACCTGTAGAATCAATACCTACCCATCTCCTCAAATAACTATTTTTTTTATTTAAAAAAAAATCCATAATGAATATGTATAAAGCCTTTCCGGTGATGAATTACTCTTCTCGTCACAAAATAGAATACAACGACATCCATCGAATTTCCATACCATTCCTTCATTTGTGAGTTCGTAGATTGGTGAATTGGCCTCCCTATATCATACATGGTATGAACCATTCCCGGAAACCAAGAAGAAATAAGAGAAGAAAAGAAAAGAAAAGAAAAGAGGGGGAAAGGTTGAAGAAGAGAAATAAACATGAGAAGAAGAAAAAAACAAAAAACGAAAGAACCCCAAGAGCGAAATCCCCTCTCGTTAAAAAAAGATGTAAATTTTTTTTAACATCAACAGGTCTTCCACCATCACCCTTCGCATATTTCAGCTGAATTCTATATTCTCCAACCGAGGAATTCGACAAAACTTCTGTTTTTTTGTTTTCATTTCTTTCTCGACGTAGTATTCAATTTAGTGTTGTTCATATTGCCGTTCGTCTCTCATATACACACTCCAATCTCAGTCGACTGAGACCGAGACCGAGACTGAGACCGAGATATTAACACCCAATATACAGGTATTCAATCCATGTCGATCCGTGAGAACTTTCTCTACACTCTATCTATAACTCATTAATATCCATTCTCCAATTTTCAAAGACCAAGAACGGAGAAACAACAATAACAACAAATTCTTCCCAATTCATCGTGCGTTCTCATGTCGTACTCGTATCCTCAACGTGAGTAAAGTAAAAAATGCACAGAAGAATATAATGATCAATTACCAACACGAGTTGACAATCAATCATGTGCTACATCATATAACAAGAGAAAGAACAAATACAAGAGCGCCGGAGAGAAAGAAAAAAAGCCTCGAAATGAGTAGAGAAGAAGCATGCATTATTATGAAAAATCAAGAAGGAAAAGGTATCTGCATATCCAAATCTACACATTTTCCCTCCCAGACATCTCCTTACACCAACCACCCTACCACACCGCACTACCAACACCATCCGGCTCGACCTCCCAGGTATAAAGATTCAAACCAGGCTATCAACATCTCGACTACAAAATCCACAAAGCCAGGCCACCAAACCTACCCAATCTTTCCAATCTCAACCCAGGAAGCCAACCTACAGTACCACTTTCATAAAATTCCAGCGCAGTTCCAATACACAACCACCACCAATCACCAATCACCAACCCCTATCTCAAAACCAACACATCAAATCCCCTCCCTTCTCGCCTTGTCCATCCTATTTTCTCTTTCCCCTCTCCATCCATCTACCAACAACCAGTCAGCCGACCAGCCGTCTATTAATCCAACTAGGAAAAACAACACGCTATGAAATAAAGATCCGTGTTTCGATCCCATTCCACCATACCAGAAAAGCGGTGGTCCACCTAGGTCCAGGTGGACATCGGTCAGTTCATTTTAACCCATCGAGTCATTGACCGGCCTATACAATCTACCAACAGGTCGAGATAGGCAGCTCAGGTAACAACCATAAGACGGATAGAAGTGTATGATATCAAGTTATATAGTGCTCGGGTTCTCTGCATTAATGCGACAGGGATTGAGAGATGTTTGATTCAACATTTCATAGCGGATGCGAGTTCCTTCTCCTAGGTAAGGGAAACTTCCCACGCGATTGATATCGGTCGGGGACCTCACAATATAATGAAGCGTACGTGGAAACAGAGTAAATTCATCCCAATTATTCATAGGCCATTCACAAGAAGAATCATAAATTCAAATCACGTATTTCTAAACCATCAATTCATACGTTCATTTCCTAACCCCCACGTAACAGGACCCAAAAAACACACGCGGTGTTGTCCCCGTAGATACTTTGTTCTATCCATGTGTATAATACCCCCTTCAATCTTCTATTTCTATCCCCTCACCCCTCTATCATCAAAAACACCCCCTACTAAGCCTTAGGCTCAACCCCCTCAACAGCGCTTTTAATAGCACTTTCCAACGCAGCAGGGTTAGCACCTACAACCTCTGCGACCTTTTTCTCTCCCTTGAAGATTATAAAGGTAGGCATGGCTCTGATACCAAGCTCTTGTGATACCTCTGGCAACTCATCGACATCGATTTTGATGAAATGGGCGGCGGGGTAGTCGACCGAAAGCCTATTTACCGTGAATTAGAATGTTTTATTTCTTATTTTTCTTTTGTAGAAAAGAATGAGGGGAGGTATGTAGTCAGGACAGTAAAGGGAGAAAACATACTGAGTAACTTTAGGAGCGATGGCCTTGCAAGGACCACACCATACTGCAAAGGCATCGAGAACAACAACTTGGTTGTCGGCAAGAGCTGACTTGAATTCAGTTGCGCTATTAATTTTCTATTAGTATTTGTGTTTCTATATCTGTGTTTACACTATGGATCTCTGTCGGAAAGCTCTTCGTGCCCCACACAACCTACACATATCATCGAAGATATGGTATAACATTGTGACGCGACCGAATAGAAACATAGATGATCTATTCCAATATACCGATCCAAAAATCGAGGGGGGGAAGTATATATCTCGTTTCTGGAGAGGAGGGGGGGCGGGGGAGTAAAACTCACGTTGCAATATTGTGGACACCCATATTTGCGATAGTTTGATGAAAGGCTCTTTTGTTTATAGATTGGAAGAAGACGGTGCGATTATATGTTTTTGGTAATCGTGGAAGAGATCGAATGAAGAATGACATATGAAGACTCTCGCAGATATCTGAAGAGTATTTGTATGTTTTTTGAGTTTGTTGAGGCTGACGGGAAGAAGGTGGGAAGTCAAGGAAGATCCGTAGATGGGTTGTTTCTCTTCCGATGCTTTCTAATGCCGATTGATTTCTAAGAGGGGTAATTGTAATTGATACCTGGTAATCCAGGCGGCAAATGACGAAATGATGATTGTGTAAGCGGAGATGGGCTAGATTCTTTATCCTTGTTAGATGGATGATGGGATATGATTGGTTGAAGTGTGTTTGGAGTGTGTATGATTGATTCCAAAGAATCTTCTATGCTTTCTAGAATATTGTTATTTTGGGTATAGAATGGTAGAATGGGTGGTATTGAGATCTATTTTGGGATTGTATCATGATTTGTATTTGAATTCTTTCGGTCTCGCCGTCGCTGTTATCTGTTGGTCATTTGCTTTTTACTTATTTACAAGCCCATCAATACTACAAACTCGGCGGCTAGTATGTTTGATCAAACAGGGAACACCCAAAGATATCCTGATTTTCAACCCATCTCTACAGACATGACAACATCATAACTTTGGTCAAAACATCCATCCATCACCTATTCATTCATCAATAGCTGCTAGCTCCTAGCTATCATCCAGACACAACCCCCTCTCTTTCTATACTTCCGAGTCATGAAATACCATACCTCTAGACCCTATCACAGATGGTCAACTAACCAACCCACTATCCAACTATGCAATCAATACATCATACAATCACCCCTCCACCCCTCTACAGTATCACAACATCTCAACATCTTAACACCACAACACCACAACTCCTTAGCTCCTTCTAGATATCAGATTCCCACTCCGTGATACATACACACACACAGACACATGCTTACTAATTAGTACTCACACTCTACCATCCCACCACCGTACTACATACATACAACTCAGCCCTAATCCTGAATGACATAATTCATCTATATCTTCCATCTCTCATTTTTCCATCTCTCTCCTCTCCCGTCTCCCAGTTTCAGCCCCAGCCCCAGCCCCAGCCCCTCTTCGTAATACCACACACATTACCACACACCCACCCTCAATCCCTCAATCCACAACGGCAAGCCAGCAGTCCAGCCGTCCCCCTCCTCTTAAATCCTCATGCACGAAATCCATCCCATCCTTCAGCTGAAAAACGCCCCTGCCCACCGCCCCCCTTCCCCTCATCGATATCATCATAATTCCGTCCTGTACCTGCAGCTAATAACTACATCACACCTATCTACCCATCCACCAATACCTATCAATTCTCATCTCTTCACCACTCTCCCGAATGGTGATCCCATCCCATCCCATCCCATCCCATCCCATCCCATCCCATACATGTGGTGCACATGCACACATCACTGCACACACATGCGCGCAATCAAAAGAAAACATCAGCTGAAAACCCTACCTGCCTGCCTGCCCACCTATTCAGGCATATAAACGCACATGTACGTACACGTACACATACACATCACATTATATTAAACTTCATCAATCGCACAGGCAATGAATGCACATCCAACTCCATTCATTAATTCATTCTCCTTGTACATATTCCCTATCCCTACAAATTCTCCCTACACATTCTCCCTCCAAGTACACATCAAATACAAAATACAAAAGCGAGCACGGATATAGTACATTGCAATATAATATAATATAATACAATCATGATTACGAGTAGATATCTACTACCTATTCCCCAAACTAGGCCATCTCATCTCACCTCGTTTCTCGCCATCCTCCTCTTGACTCCTTCCTCCCTCGCTTCGTACAACCTCTCAGGATCCCAATTCCCAATCCCCGTCCCCCAACCTCGAATCTCGCATCCAAAATTCTGGAAATTTGAAGTCTTTCTTAATTCTCACTCATCTCACCTCATCTATACCTCAAGAAATCAATCAACCAGAAGAGAAAAAATTTTTCAAAAAAGAAGAAGCTAGATAGCTCACTATTACTAAATACTATAATCTTCCTCAAATGCCCAATCCTTAAGAGCCCTGCTCTCTCCCCCCCCCTCCCTCTCATCTTTCTTATCCCCGGGTATCTCTTCCGCTCAAGAAGTAATATTACATATTTTCCTCCCCTTCCATTTCCTCCTTCGCCCATAAGCCTTCCCCAAGATCCTGTAAAAAAAGGAGTGACGCCGTCATAATTTTCCACTCCCCAACGATACCCCGATTTCTTTTTTCGGTCCCCTATTTCAAATACATGTTGGGGTATCGATTCGAAAATATCAAAAAGCAAAAAAAAGCAGAAACATCTATGTGCTAGTGGGGATATCAATTCATTATGAAACCGAAAAAAAGCAAAAGAAATAAAGAAAAAGTTTTGTCGTGAATCCGTGAAATAGTGATTGTGGAGTAATGCGAGTGAATGGATGAGAAGCCGATAGTTGATGTATAGAGTAAAGATATCATGGACAATGACAATGATCGAGACGAAGCTTTTTTAACTATTTTCGTTTAGGTCGATTCGAGCCTTTTTATAAGGAAATGGTTGTTAAAGGAGCGAATGCTGACAAAAGAAAAGTTGCAATGAGCGTGGGTGTCGATAGTGACAAAATTGTTGTAATGAAATAATTAAAAGAATGTGGTGCTCGTTTCGTTTTGTCATTGTCCTTGAAAATCTTCATCTTTCCACCAGTTCGACTTTACGAGTCATTATGACTCACACTCGTCCTTCGTGCCTCTCCAGAAGCTCTTGGTTTCATGTCAAGAAGTCTCGCGCTACCAGCACTGACTCTTCTAACATGTCCGAAGTCAACACTTGTAGCTCTGCTAATACCAGTACCATCCTCGTCGACGAATTCAGCCTGATAGCTGATACTTCTTCGGTAGCCTGGAGAATCTTCAACAGCCTCATCCAAAAGTCCTTCGCGAGATTTCGCTCGTTCACGGTGAATTACAGTAGCATGTCTTGCCACAGCTCCCCATTTTGTCTGCCCTTCTGGAGATGGATTTTGTTTAAAGCTAGCTCCATCTTCCTCATCGCTAGAAGCCATGGGAAGACCGGTAGATTGTCGCTTCATCATATTTTCTTCCTCAGGCCCTGGTGTAATGCGGCTGAAGTATTCATCTTCAGCAATTCCAAGTTCTTCCGAAGATTCTGATAATTCTTTATAGCGTTGTTGTAAAGAGCTAGCAGAATCGCGTAATGGTGACAATGTCATCTGTGCAGATCCTCGTTTTGAAGCTGTTTTCTTTCCAGAAAGCCATGATCCTTCGGAATCTATTGATGCAAGAGATTGGGAGATAAGGGTAGGTTGTTCGGGTGAAGGTACATCTGTTGATCTGTGGCCACTGGTAGGTGTGCTATCTCGTAAACGCACGACACTGATTGGAGTATCGTATCTGCGTTGCTCCTCCAAAGACCTTCGTACACTACCTCTCTTATCTGGATAAGCAGTTCGTATTGGTGGTACGATATCAGTCTCAGGAGATTGTAGTCGAGAGTCCGGTGGTGAAACTGGAAGTTCGGGCAAATCTTCTCTAAACTTTGACATTGTTCGTTTGGGGATGTTTGATGTTTGCCTAACCACTGGCGTATATCCCAAGTGGGGTGGTGGCCCAGTTTGCACTGTTTCCCGTGAAGTGTTCGAGAAAGATGGTGTAGAAGTCCTGCTGAGTCTCTTGTTTCGTCTAAAGAATGATGTCCACGATTGAGAAGTTTTGGCTTCCACAGGCTGCTTGACAGGTTCTGTCTCCACTCGCTGTTTTTTAGCTGGAGAAGGGGTCCTGGATTTATCTAGGTTTACCACCTGTGAAATATTTGATGGCCCTCGAAGATGGCCCTGTGGTGAAGCAGGTGGTGAAGCATTAGCTTTGCCGATAGTGCCAACCTGCGCAGTTCCTGAGAATGGTACGGAACGTTCTGAAGAAGGGGTTGGGTTCTCATTGACGAATGGAGTTTCGTGCGCAGGGGAGTCTTTGAAAAAGGCATCCGCAGGTCGCTTTCCTCTCCCAGAATCCCAAGTATCTGATCCTCTCCTCTTGCTTGATGTGGTTACTGCGGATGTTCCAATGCCCAAGCCTACTACCTCTCTTCCTAGAACCCCCCTCTCCATATTATCCGGTGGTGGTGTACCGTATCGAGCTGCAGCTGCTTCTTCAGCCTTTTGTTTCTCTTGCTTTCTTGCTAATCTTCTCTCTGCTTTCAGCTTCTCATCTGCCTTCTTTCTTTCTCGCCTCTTCTGATCTCTTTCCATGAGCTCTCGAAGCTCTCGGGCGTCCAGATCATCGGCAAGTTCATCAATTCTCTTATTTGCTTTTAGAACTTCTTCTGGAATGTGTATGCGATCCAAGATACGTCGCTTTTGCGAGTCTGATCTATCCGAACCAAAACCGGTTACGCCAGGCGCATATCGAGGGTTTTCGGAATGTCGAATCGTAGGGCGTGGTGCCAACGCATCTAATGCAGATATTCTCCATGATGTTTGATGTTCGGAATTCGAAGATACTGAAGAACGCATCGATTCCGCAGTTGGCAGTGAAATATCGGAACGCGGGTTTTGTAAATTCCCTTTCAATCCGGTCCGCATTCTCTTGCTATCCCTCTTCATGGGACGACCAGATGATGAGGCATCTGCGGCCGGTCTGCTGGGCATAAAAGAAACCATTGCTTTAATTTCCTCTTCCCTATTAAATTCCTCCTTGCGCTTTTTACTCGACTTCCGCCTTGAGAGTTCCGCAGCACCTCTTTTATGTAATGTTGGCACCCTCTGCCAATCCTTTAACTCCTCGGCTTCTTGATCTGTAAGTCCAATTGTCGTGTCTCTTCTGTCTCGACCATCTGCAGGTAAAGGAGGAACCGGAGGTCTATGCACGTCTCTGTGCACGCGAATGCTATCGTTTCGACCGGGAGAAAAACTATAAGTCCTTTGCCTTTCAGGCTTCTGTAATTTGTTCGAATCCCTCGAAGATTTTCTTCTCCTTTGAGAGTCCCTCCGGCTTCTTCTTCTCTCGAGAACTGATAAAGGGTTTAATTCGGATCCATCATGCCTTCCAGGGTCCCGCTGTGTGCCA